TCCATGTATGAAACTCTAATGGAGGCCAATGTCACCACAGACGACTACTTGTATTGCCCTCTCGAAACATCCTTTGAGCTTGGTTGGTCAAAGTTCCCGATTAATGTATTTGGTCGGTGCTTCAAGTACTATTTAGAGACTAACAAGCAAAAGAACATAGAACTAGAAAGCCGAAAGCGTCTCGAACACGCTGAAGATTTCATAAAATAAGCGGTTGTCTAATTCCGAAGCTTCGACTCGAATCATTTAGCACGGGCGGCTTCGTGGTAATGTTAAATTGGAGCTTTCGTGAACCAAGAGATGATCTGCTTATTTAGTTTTATCATCGGCAAAGTGTTGACTGAAAGATAAATATGTATGCTTTCTACTGCCACTTAGTCACTTGAAGAGGCACGAATGTACACTTATAACATGTTTCAATTCGTTCATCTAGTCGTTAGTGACCTTGCTAGGAATTAAGAACATCGAGAGCACCAGCGAATGAGCCATGTGCAACCTTCTAACAGACTAAAACATGCCTGTTTTGAGGTAAAAGATATATTTATTTTTAACATTCGATTCTATTTTTTTTTGAAAGACCTTTGCCACACTCGTCTGTCTATATAACAAAATGAACGCTGTTGTGCTGAGCGTTCTAGACAAGATATTAATTATCTAGTGTATTTAATTTGAGATCAAAAGTCAATACGATCGAATGTGTTGCCAAAAAAATCTTGATCAACTTAGGGAAGTCTGTTTAGAATTAGTGATTCACGATCGTTGTCGCGGAATTTCAAGCAGCGTAAAATCACTTGACGTCATAACGTTTTGAGGATTAGCAAACGTTTTCTAAACTGCTAGGTTTTGATTTGAATTAGCCTGGATATTAAAAGCTTAATTATGTGTTTGGATAGCAAATTTCTTCAAGTGCTCATTTTCCGGAATCACGAGTCTTGGTTTCTCATTTTCAAACGTCAAGTAGTACAAGAAACCATCGTCAGGTGTGTGTCTGGGGACCATAACGTCTTTGGTGAGCTTAGCCAAACTGTCTCCGACGGTTTGGTCTGATTTATACAATTTCTTTGGAATTTCTTCGATGAAAATAGGCAACACTTCAATTGCAGCCAGAATTTCATGCCTCGCCACAGCGTAGAGGAGACCCTGAAGGCTGAATTGACCTACTTTACATACAACAGTACGATTTCGCGAAAGTGTATCAGCTATTTCGTTCGATTGTTCTGGGTGTTGAGATTGCACCGCTGAATGCCCGATACGGCGGTAATGTGAACACGCTTTCATACAAGCACGTCGGTTACGACTATTGTAGTCGCTTCTTGAAGAATGAAGAAGGAAAGGCTTCAATCACTTTAAGTGAAGCTGCTATATGTCTAACTTATCTGTTAGTCGTCTCAATACTGCTTTAATCGGTTGTGACCACAAAAAAGACGATATAGCAGGTACGCATGCTGAACGATGAAAGTGTGCCTGATTGCAAAAAGTATTTTTTCTCGGGTCGGATAGTTGAGGTCCGTTCCTCACCCGTAAATGAAATTGGGTACTCTGACTATTTCCTTCCGGGAAAACCCTATCGATGGCAAGTTGGACGCCTCCATGCGAATAATAAAAAACTAAGTAAAATGCGTGAGGTTAAGAGCAAGCAGAGTCGTGCTTTTTACTGTTTAAAGCATGTCAACTGATGTTCCGACGGCTCGATGGACCCATGGGTACGCTTCCCCTTGATGCATTCATTAAGCGGACTTGCTTACTGGGAAGAGTCTGGGCAGAAACAAGAGACGTAGATTATTGTACCAAAAGACTCTCCATCTGCTTCTTTGTCCGTGGAACTGGTCAAGATTCGATTTTGATCCTGTCGAGAACCATACAAGCACTGCTCCTTCCCTCGAAGTCTCCAAGACAGGGATATCTGCTATGCAGAACTGAAATTTGGAAAACTTAATGTACAACAACTTGTCCTTCCAACGCCAAAGTACATGATCAAGTGACGCAAGATTTTCGGTGATGACCGCGCTTTGTGTGAAGAAACAGATGCCGTTTAAGTTTATGCGCATAACATCCTTCAGATTCATTGAAGTAGGCGATTGAAAGTGCTATGTCAACCACCAAGTTCCACGGAAAATGCAAATTACCCAAACAAGCCACCCGGCGTTGTAATATTCCTAAATGACATATCCTTACCTCTGAGCTTTACTTGGCAGTAACCGCAAAGCACAAAAATGATTGACTGACAGACATGGCGTCAAATCCTTAAGTGGCTTTAAAATGACAGACAAAATCGTGGAGCTGCTTAATTGACAAAAAGCTTGAACGACAGGCCAACCAACTCGATTCTTGACGTGAATGAAGGACCGAAAAAGGCGAAGTACCTGGATGAATGATTTAGAGCTTTGGCGCCACTGAGGTACCGAGACGGATTTCGTGGGTTCGATAACATTAAATACCTTCACAAACAGGTGGCACTGTGCTCGGTAGTTCTTTTGGAGCACAATTTCGCGGCGTTTCCACAGCACATCATTTTCCGGGTACCCTCTTGTGCTTATTATCCTTGCCGCATGTATTGGGCAGCTTTCTTTGACTTTTGCGGAAAAATCATAAACGCGTACTCGACATCTCATTAAAGCATGCCGTCAGAACAATTTTTTAATATGAAGAACCACGTCTGTCTGTTGTCGCAAGTTGTCGATAGAAGTTGAAGATTTCACGACTTTGGGGTTGTCTATACGACGAGTAGGACGAGACTTGGGCAGCTACAAGGTAATTGGCGGATCATGCACATCGATGCACGCAGTTCCAACTTGAACGCCTTCCTCTTTGTTCACGTATCCAAATCGTATCGAGAGTGACATCCTTATTTACTTTTTCTTAGTGTCTTTATGGACTTGTAGGTTATTAATTGAGCCAACACTTCAGAAATACCGTTCAAACTGCAGCCATTGTCGATGAATATCGACACATTTTTCTTGTATTTATGGACTGCAGTATGCGAGAGCTCACCTTCAAGGATCGCAAAGAACGCATTGCAGATGCAGTTGTTTTGACTCGCGATCTTTTGGCAATTAGGAACACTGTAGCCATTATGAGAGCTACTGTAGCAGGTGGCTTGCTTTTTCAGCTGTCGTAAGTATTTTTCTTCTGACTCCGTTTTTCTGCCATTTTTGTTCTTCTTCTGCTTATCATCCGCGTTGTCTTTTGTTTCGCACCATTTTAAAACTGCAGCGCGTTCGGTCGTTTGCACGTGTGATGCGCAAACCCGAAATTTATTGCTATCTTAATTGTGTCATTTGAAGTCTGTGGGTTTCCAATTTGATCTTGGCCGATGCAAACCATCCATGTTGGATGTAACCTGCATGCGCATGCTATTTGGAACTTTCAGATACATTCATCGCTCAAAGATATTTGCTTGAGCTCCAGTATTCGTTTACGGACGATATAATCAAAATCGAGCAGCATATACCGCTTCTTCAGCGTTTTCTGTAAACATTAATACGTCGAGTTTGCTTGGAATCCCGCAACAAATGTCGTGCCGATCAAATTTTGAGCAAATTTCCCAACTTGCTCGAGAATACCTTGACAAACTCCGATGAATCTGCTACCATGAGATGCTGTATCCGCTAGTTGCAAAACACGGTGTTGAAAATCAACATTTCTGAGAGCTTTACTTCCTCGGGGTCACTTCTTCCCATTGAAGGATTTGCGGAAACAATTCAAAAGCAATGGGTGTTGGTCTATACGTCACTAGAAGGTAGCAAGTGGAGATTGATACTCACTGTTTCCAATGGCAGGATATACACTTAATCGAGGCACATTAAACCATAGCTCCGACGAAGGGTCTCCCGCTGCATGTACCACACATTAACGTATCAAGGTTTTTCATACTTCAGGAAGAAGCTTTAAAGTGCTTTCATGCATTTGGAGTCGACCTGACCGTGTCTGAAAGAGATTTTCACTATGCTGCCACTCCGGCAATTTTATATTGGACTGAGCCGAAGAGTGCTACTACGCAACATATTGCAGAGAAGTCACAGAGGTGAGGCTCTGTGGAGAATTAGGATTCGGTAGAATGGATAGAAACTGGATGTTGACGAGGCTAAAAACGTTAGTCGCAGCGAGGCAACGCTAGTTTAGTTGATGGTGAACCGCAAAAGACTGAGTCCTTTATCGCTATTCTCACCAGTCAGATCCTAAATGAGGCCAATCATGCGTATAATTAATCTCCGGTCAACACAACAGCATTCATCATATAAAATATAGACAGACGAGTATGGCAAAGGTCTTTCAAACAAAAATAAACTGTATAAAATTTAATGTCTAAAATAAACTGTATATTCTACCTCGAAACAGGCGTGTTATAGTCTGCTAAGAGTATGCACACGGCTCAATCGCTAGTGCTGTCGATGTTTTTAATTCCTAGCAAGGTCACTGATGACTACATGAACAAATTTAAACGAGTTATGAATTAATGTGTACATTTTTACCTCTTTAGTGACTAAATGGCAGTAGAAAGCATACAATTTATCTTTGAGTCACTTTGCCGTTGATAAATCCAGATAAACAGATCCTCTCTTGGTTCACGAAAGCTCGCGTCTAACTTCACCACGTAGCCGCCCATCCTTAATGATTTATGTCGAAGCTTTGGGATCAGAAAACCGCTTATTTTGCGAAATCTTCAGCATGTCTGAGACGCTTTCGTCTTCTAGTACCTTTGTTAATCATGAAATAGTAATCATAGAACCGACCAAATACATTAATCGGGAACTTTGACCAACCAAGCTCAAAGGATATTTCGAGAA